AAAAAAAAAAAAATATATATATATATATATTTAGCTTTAAGAGGGTTAGGCCTACCCAAAAATTAAGGAACGCTCGACCTCGACACGTGATATCGAAATGGGCGAAATCGCCTCTTGATATCACTAACTCTCTTGACTCAGAACTTCCCCATCCTTTATTATTTATTATTGTAGGAATTTAAGATATCTAACTCAATCATTTCTTTTCATGATACAAGTGTTTTCAATAACATTGTCTAATGTCGTGTGTGCTATTTCGGCTTTTCTTGTCGACTGTTTTCATCATGCTAGTAATTGTTAAATTTCATGAATTCACCTGCAATTTCGGGGCAATCTTGGATCTTCTGGATTAGATAAATGGCACCTGAAACTCAACTTCAGGCAAACTCAATTTAAGGATTTTTCAATTAATTGACTCGATATTTCACAAATCAAATTTTATTCATTTATAGTTTAACAATTCCATTGTACTGCCTCCTCAACAGAACTTGGTCCCAATTTCTTTAATCGAAGGTAAATTCTGGAATTTCATTCCGAAATACACTTCGAAATCTATCAAACTGACAGTGCAGTTCCTCACATGCGATGTCAATTGATCTGCGCGACAGATGCGAGCAAAATATATTTGACGTTTTATTCCTATATAGATTTTCATTGTCAAACAGGCACAGATTGAGACAATGGATTACTTCAGTAAAAGAACAACCATAAAATGAAGAGAAGGCAAAAGAACAAACGAAAAATGAAGGGAAAGCAAAAGAACAAACGAAAAATGAAGGGAAGGCAAAAGAACAAACAAAAAATGAAGAGAAGGCAAAAGAACAAACAAAAAATGAAGAGAAGGCAACATAGGAAAAACCGTAGAAGGTTCAGCAATGATTTGAAACAGCTCCACAAGATAGAAATCTGCTCCCTTGACTCTCCGCATTTATCTGCAAAGGAACGATGAAGGTGATTGTCATTGTTACTACTATCCCTGACAGTAATTAAGTTCATCCATGCCGTACCATTTAAAGTGTATGGGTGGATATGCGTAGCGATCCAGGACAAGTGGGAGGAGACATTTGCGTAGACACCAGGAAATTCGGGCTCCGCGCAGCCGTATCCATAAGACACGATCCCAACTTGGACCCATTTCCCTTCTTGGCCGACGACAAACAAGGGTCCTCCGGAGTCTCCCTAAATGGACAAGGACACTATCATCAAATTCAAGACCAATAGGCGAGGCGAGAGATTAATGGTTCCCAAGATCTTACCTGGCAAGAGTCCTTCCTTCCTTTCTCATGTCCTGCACACAGATGAGTATTCGTGATGCATGGATAATTCTTCCGGCAAACTTCTTGCGAATAAACATGGACAAGAACTTGTTGGAGGACGGGAGGCTGGATCTCGGTTGTTGTTTGGGTCAACCCCCAACCTATGTAACCCACACAAAGACATAGTCCAAGCATTCGGAAAGTTTTCTCATGAACTTCCTCCTTCCCTGCATTATCAAGCATGCATTATCTATGGTAAGCACTCCAATCTTGCAAAACGATCCGCATCCTGTGAGGTGAGAGATACTCTACTGTGGTCACCCTCGTATAAACGCCTCCTCGTGTTCAGGCAAAGATCGTTTCAATCCCTTTATCTCGTGTATCTTCCCAGATTAATTTTCGAAATCTTGAAATGCAGCATCATTCTCACGTTCAATATGAAAATAAATAAAATATAGATAATTGTTGAGCTAGTTTTAATGTCGAGTCTTTTGTATGTTAGGCCTATCACATTTTAGGTATTCTTTAATATGCATGCGGGACAGATCGCTCAATGAATGAGAAAAAATTCGGATCCGTTTGAATCTGGAAGTAAAAACTCAAATCCTCAAATAAGACATATATAAATGCAATATAGAAATAAAAGGAGATCAGATATGATAAAGTTAGTAAGCTTCTGACACCATAACGAGGTGATAATGATTCATCCCTAGAATGTTCCCTTTGGTTACATAATTAATTTACATAATTAAATTCTTATTACCTTCACCTGAAATTATTTGGCCATCAGACATAAATCTACCTCCAATTGGTCCTTTACTTTTTTAACAAACCGCCGTAAAATTAAAAACCAATTCTTATAGAGAAACACAAAATTATTTCCATATTTCACATGTCAAAATAAATTTCTCCTTGGACAGGCCTGCAGGAACAATTGCAGGCTTGTAGTTTAAACTGTAGAACTGGAAAAGATAAAACTAGCAAAGGAAAGGCGATCACCAAGATGGGGCTTGCATTCCCAATAAAACCGTGCAAGTGCATGCTTTCATGCAACTGGACAAGTGCATTTCATGTTCAGAGCTTTCACAACCCACAGGAAGAGGCTTGTTATCTTGAAATCGTCCCAATGCTCAAGTTTGATGGTGGTTAGATAATATTTTGGATTTTGGGAAACCTCAAAACTGAACGTTGCTAATGGCCATGTCACCTCTAATACACAAAGACGAATTTCGTGATTGTCTCGAACTTGAAGAAAATTTATTGTGATCTAATGCTGGGGTCAAAATTTCAGCAGGCTTTGATGACGAGTTCATTATTATTGGCTTGTGCTAAAATATATTTCCTTTGGAACGCATGAGTCACCATGGTTCCACACTCAGCATTTCACCGAGAGCTACATTTGAACTGCCAGGTAGCCGCAGTTTGGCCACCCCTAATATACAGTATATCATCGTTTCTTCATAAACCACCTGAAATTATCACAACATGAATATATATAATTTCTGACCAATGACATAGGCGCTGCTACCCTCAAAATTCCCTGGTTCGTTGGGAAGGTAGACAGCCTTTGGTTTGGCCTCGTATGGTCCATATAGTTCGATGATTGCCAGATCATTATGGATGTCCCTGTTCAATTCCTCGTAATTGGGATGAATGTGGATTTGTTTGATGGAAAAATCTTGATGTTCTGTCTCTGAAATAGACTCAAAGTTGTGCTCTCCGATCCGGATCAGAAAAGAACTCGTCTTTAGTTGAACTCCTCTGTGAAGAAAGGGAGAGCAACTTAGTCATGATTTTGACATATACCGCATTCGATGGTAATGGATGACACACTTTTGATGAACGCAGTGGCCAGCAGTGAGAACGTGACGTGGGGATATGAGAGACCCGCCGCAGAAAGGTCTCCTGGTGTTTGACACGTTGAGAAGAGCTGCCATCCAGGGATAATCCCCTGGTTTTGTGTCTTCCCCTCCTATGATCCGGCCTGGTTGATCGATATTCTCCCTGATTGGACAGCACATCGTCGCCCTACTCTCCATCAAAACACAAGATACTGACATGCATTACTCTCGTCACACAGTTCTATTAATGCAGAAGAGAGAAGAGACCTGTTTATGACGTGCAAACAAGCTTGGCGTCTCGAGGACAATTCTGAGCTGAGAATTTCCTGAATGCACGCATCTTCCGCTGCACAGTAACCGGGTTCTCCGGAATGAGTACAGGACACATCATTTTTTTCCCCCTAGGACAAATGACCAACCTCACGCTTACTCTTGACTTTCGACAGAGGAAGCTTTCAAGCTGACAAGGGAGACGCTAGGGTAGTAGGACAAACCTGGGAAATGGATGTAACGGCAGGGACAATGAAGAATACTAGAAACATAAGAGAGAACATCCTGACTAGGCTGCTTCACTGCTTGTACTGATAAGATGTCTTTTTGCACCTATAAAACTGATATCGCCTATCTGTCGGGTATACTAGGGCGCCATACATCATTGGATCCTCCTATACTTTATCCATTGTCGTCGTAATAATTTGAAAGGAATCTCTATCCTCTAAAACTGGTAGAGAGGGTCCCATCAGTTTCCTCCCTGTTCATCACATGTAGTTTTCTTATTGCCAGATAATAACATGCAAGATTCAGTATCTATATTAACAACTTTAAAAGTAATTTTTAAATGTCACGACTTCACCAGCAATTGCGGTATATGGGGGTCACTGGAATGGCCAATCTTTCATTTCAGTAGGCTGAGGGAGGTTCTTCATGAACATTTCACGAATATCTCGTGGAATAAGCCCGATCTCCTGTCATTTAAACAGGTGATATGAGTGAAGATGTTCAGTTGTAAATTCGCATCCCTGTTAAGTCATTATTAGAGAATTATGATTTTTCTTTGTAAAAGCAAAGTCTTGTTTTCTCATTCACACTGCTCATCAACCTCCTTTCATTGCAATAAAAACTAGGTCCACTACTTTGGCCCCATTTCCTGATGGGATTTGTTATTTGTAGCTTCAAAGCTTCCCGTCTGGGAAAGTGTTGTCTATACTCCTAAAGCGAAGTCGAGTTGGAAGCGGGCGTATTTTGTTATGTATCACATACCTGTAGTAAAGAAAATAAATTATATCTATTTTGTACGAGGATTTGGGCTTTCACTACATTCTCCCGATATGAGCTTTGCCCCATTTCTTGGGCGATCTGTACTCATATGTCGTCCCATTCCAGACTAAGTTGGTGAAATCGAAACACCTTGCGGTCCTTAAAGACTTCACTAAGCTTTGTACTATCCTGACAACATATCAACCCAACTTCAAGCAGTTCACAACCAGGATGGAGACCCACAACCCACAGTTCAGCAGCAACTGTGTTACTATGGTGTTACAGTGAGTAGAATGTGAATCTTGTAAAATTGGAGGGATTGCATGCGTATCCATACTATACTAAGAATACACTAAGGAGACTCATGGTAGGTGTACCCTATAGCCTATGAAGCTTTTGCCCTTCAATGGGCTACCTAGCCTATCAGTCTTTATTTTTCTTGGTCATAGGCTCGTTAACCGAGAGGCCTATGAGCTTTTCCCGTCCATGGCATAGGCTAGGTCCATTTCATGATTCATCCAGGTAGTTGTTAGGCCTACTAACCTGCGCCCTTCCTGATCCTAAACTGTGTGGGATATGATAAACAGGTTTACAATATGTGATGCGATGAGGCTGCGTAGGTCTGCATTGACCTATGAGTAAATTGTACATCTTAATGCCGAGAGGGGAACTGCAGGAGAGCAGCGCGTGTACTCAACGAACTTTTAACCATGCTCGAATTGCGTTGGCTAGGACGCCCAATGTCATTCCAGCCGTCTCGCATGATCGCGACCCTATGGATGTGGAATGCTTTCTTGAGCGCTGCCTGGCTTTTAATTTCTAAACAGAGAAAGGCAAACTTCGGCAAGGTTGTTTTCATGATCATCCATTCGAACCCATTGGAGTTTTCGCCAGAGTTGAAAATGCTGTCGATGGGTAATATGAAAACGCTCGCAATTTTCACGAGTTTAACTGACAATACAACAGCGCAAACGCATTTGCTTCCTTTTGGTGCAACCGTTGTTGACATTACCAATAATAGTCTTTACCGCTTCAAAACATCATTTCACTACGACACTTCTACATCCATTTGATGAGGTCGTTTCTCTGCTAAATCACAGTCAGGAAATAGCGTATGCTCAACTCTACATTTGCCATACAGATTAAGTGGTTCAAATGCAGCGTCTCATGAAAATTCGGAACGGGAAGTGCGTCGCTGCTTATTATCGATTGAGCAGGTGTCACTGGGAAACAATTCCAGCACATTACATGATTTCACATATTGCGGTGAGGTGTACAATGTTTTGAGCGTGCTGACTGGTACTTAAGCAAATTTGCTGCCTGGTGGGATGACGCGTCGCACAGCCTTCGACTTGCCATTGGATCTGCTAAAGCATGAAACGTGTTGTTCATCGCGCCAAAAATCAGGCGATGCTTCGAGCTACCGACGTCATTTGCCATGAGGTGCCAATGGCGCTCGCTGAAAGGCTGGCAACACTGGATCGGGCGTTGCGAGACTCGAGTAATTGTGTTGGATACATTCGTTACATTCCCCTAATGTTGCCAGGCGTCCGCAAAGCATCTCGCGGTTAAATCATTGACTTGGGTCGAAATGGGCCTGTTGTGGTCATCGTTTCAAACAAGTCGTTTGAGAGAAAAAACGCGCGCTGCCGCAAACGAAATTATATTTACTCGATGTGGGCATGGCAACATTTGCACGGGTCCAAGGGGATTTATCTAAGCTCTTCTTGCGTTTACCAGGCTATTATATCTTCGATAATATGGTGAACGAGCTGTTTAGGCAACTACATAAGTTCTGCAATGCCGAAGTGAGCAAGCAAACGCGCTCATCCTGAGTCCCGAGAATGATCACTCCTGTTGTGTCGTCCCGATTGAAGGCGAATTGCGGACACATCACAGTATCGACATTGTGAAGTACACTCATGGCGGTGATGGCGCCGATCGCCAGGCCACCTTTCAGCTTGAATCCTTCGACAGTCTTAATACTCTGGGTACGGTATAGGTATAGGGCACGCCCTATACCTAAAAATTGGAGCTAGGCTAAATTGCCTAGGAAATGAGTAATTTTCACCAAGCCGTATTTCATTGGTCTACATCAAACTCAATATTGTGTCACAGTTTTCTTATTTCTAAGAGCACCTGTGTGGTATTAATCATTTGTACCAAGCGTCATTGACAATGTCATGAACTTTAAATATTAATATCGATTTTGATTATCTGAAGAAGTATGGTAATTTTTTTAAATGAGAGGAACGAATGGTCGATGTAGCACCATGTTAAGTTACCCGATATGATTTGCCAAAAATAGCCAAGGGTATTTATCACATCTGTAAATGAGTTCACAAGAATACAGCTTTGGTATGAATCACAATATATTCAGGTAGCGAAAGTAATGATGAAAGGCTCTGTGAAGCGGTAGAATGATCACCACGTAATTTGAAGCGTAGAACTGAGGGCATTATCTTAATGAAATTCTAACGCAATTCTTGAGGGCAAAAGTCCTTCACACACATTCCACAGACAAAATAAAAATAACTTGTTTGAGTCACTCAAAGCGTTTCGGATAGCGTTTTCACACGTTCAAGAAAAGTCAATAGATAAATAAAACCCACAAACCTCGGACAGGAACACAGAATTGTGTGGGGCGATACTGATAAGCAAGGAAAGCAGATTTTGTGACGTGCAAATACAGTGAAGGAACTTGTCCCCGCGCTTTCCCTGAGCAGCGATTCCCCCTCGGATTCCGCACCCCCCTCTTGTGCTCTACATGAAAGGAATTTATTCAAAAGTAAAATTCATGAACGTCAAAGCCAGGAAAGATATTGAAAATGCTGGCTTCCTTGGGAGTAAGTTACATTATGTAAGAGGCTCCCTTCGAAAATGAAAGAAAAACATCACACTTCTGTCTCAAACAAGGAATTCATTCAACCCCACCGGAAGACGTGATGGTACGCATCGTTCTTCCGCCCGGTTTACGGCCTAGAAGGGAATAGATTGTAGGCCTCGAGCGCCAAGCTGAGGTAGCTCAATTATAGGTCGAGTAGTCAGTTAGTGTAGATGGGTTAAACAACCTATTGCAGCGTGAAATGGCTCCAAAATAGTCCAATAACCTCATCTTAGTGATTCTGTTCGGCTAGCGCAAGCATGGTCGCGGAAATGCGAAAGGTAACGGCTAGAGTAAAGCGTGATTTCAGGCTTCATAAATACATCTGCGGACATGAAAACAAGGGAGGAGACATGTCCACAATTAATTTATTTTCTAAATTATATTTATGCGTACTTTTTCCCCCTTTCAGTCAAGGGTGGACTGGGAAAAAATATCGGCCCTGGCATTTTTACTCACACCGGTCTTCATTGAGGCTTTGGCTTGTAGGCCTAAAATGATTACTGATATAAATTACCAGGCAATAATAACACCTACCTCATTGTTGGTGCAGTTGGGGGAGGTTCGTCAACTCCCAACTGCATAGTGGTGTGGAATCGCACTGCGGGGGGTGGCGAAGCTATTCAAAACATGTATAGCTGGTTCCTTCCCAATAAAAAAACGGAGTTGTGGTCAGGATGACAGACCAAAAGGAGGGGAAGTTAATTAAATTCTCGTAAACCGACCTGGGATGTTTGAGTATATTAGTTTATGGCGCGGGGGGAGGGGGAAGTGATATTCGTGAAAGGACAGGATTGTCATATATTCAGAACTTGCACTTTCCTTATACATTATCATTGCAATGCAACAATTAAGGGGAAAAGTACGGAGGAATGATAGTGAGGTATTGCAAGCAGAAATGCATGGAAACGATGTGCCATATGTTAGACAAGGAAGAGATTCATATGCCACCAAGAAAAATAAAATAAAAATGGGGGGGGGGGTCACCTGAGCTCCACATGACCCGTCTGACAACCCTGTCCCGCAATTCCATCTCCTTTACCCTATCTGATTAGGTTCTAACTTATTTAATTCCCATTCTTTCTCGGACGGATCTCTTTTCTGACCTCATCCATCGGTTCTTTTGTTAAGCAGCGGGAGCTTTTTCTTCAAAGAGGGAATGAATTAAACTATGCATAACTACTGTAGTAACAGCCCCGGGGCGGAGCGCATCGCCAACTCGACCGGGAATAGCCCTATCAATGTGGATATTTCGCTGAAAATGTAGGTAGGCCTACTAGGTACGCCTGATAACATATTGTTTCACAGTTGGGTCTATTCCTAATAGACTTCNGGCAACTACATAAGTTCTGCAATGCCGAAGTGAGCAAGCAAACGCGCTCATCCTGAGTCCCGAGAATGATCACTCCTGTTGTGTCGTCCCGATTGAAGGCGAATTGCGGACACATCACAGTATCGACATTGTGAAGTACACTCATGGCGGTGATGGCGCCGATCGCCAGGCCACCTTTCAGCTTGAATCCTTCGACAGTCTTAATACTCTGGGTACGGTATAGGTATAGGGCACGCCCTATACCTAAAAATTGGAGCTAGGCTAAATTGCCTAGGAAATGAGTAATTTTCACCAAGCCGTATTTCATTGGTCTACATCAAACTCAATATTGTGTCACAGTTTTCTTATTTCTAAGAGCACCTGTGTGGTATTAATCATTTGTACCAAGCGTCATTGACAATGTCATGAACTTTAAATATTAATATCGATTTTGATTATCTGAAGAAGTATGGTAATTTTTTTAAATGAGAGGAACGAATGGTCGATGTAGCACCATGTTAAGTTACCCGATATGATTTGCCAAAAATAGCCAAGGGTATTTATCACATCTGTAAATGAGTTCACAAGAATACAGCTTTGGTATGAATCACAATATATTCAGGTAGCGAAAGTAATGATGAAAGGCTCTGTGAAGCGGTAGAATGATCACCACGTAATTTGAAGCGTAGAACTGAGGGCATTATCTTAATGAAATTCTAACGCAATTCTTGAGGGCAAAAGTCCTTCACACACATTCCACAGACAAAATAAAAATAACTTGTTTGAGTCACTCAAAGCGTTTCGGATAGCGTTTTCACACGTTCAAGAAAAGTCAATAGATAAATAAAACCCACAAACCTCGGACAGGAACACAGAATTGTGTGGGGCGATACTGATAAGCAAGGAAAACAGATTTTGTGACGTGCAAATACAGTGAAGGAACTTGTCCCCGCGCTTTCCCTGAGCAGCGATTCCCCCTCGGATTCCGCACCCCCCTCTTGTGCTCTACATGAAAGGAATTTATTCAAAAGTAAAATTCATGGACGTCACAGCCAGGAAAGATATTGAAAATGCTGGCTTCCTTGGGAGTAAGTTACATTATGTAAGAGGCTCCCTACGAAAATGAAAGAAAAACATCACACTTCTGTCTCAAACGAGGAATTCATTCACCCCCACCGGAAGACGTGATGGTACGCATCGTTCTTCCGCCCGGTTTACGGCCTAGAAGGGAATAGATTGTAGGCCTCGAGCGCCAAGCTGAGGTAGCTCAATTATAGGTCGAGTAGTCAGTTAGTGTAGATGGGTTAAAACAACCTATTGCAGCGTGAAATGGCTCCAAAAAGTCTAATAACCTCATCTTAGTGATTCTGTTCGGGTAGCGCAAGCATGGTCGCGGAAATGCGAAAGGTAACGGCTAGAGTAAAGCGTGATTTCAGGCTTCATAAATACCTCTGCGGATATGAAAACAAGGGAGGAGACATGTCCACAATTAATTTATTTTCTAAATTATATTTATACGTACTTTTTCCCCCTTTTAGTCAAGGGTGGACTGTGACTAAAAATCGGCCCTGGCATTTTTACTCACACCGGTCTTCATTGAGGCTTTGGCTTGTAGGCCTAAAATGATTACTGATACAAATTACCAGGAAAATAATACCTAATTGTTGGTGCAGTTGGGGGAGGTTCGTCAACTCCCAACTGCATAGTGGTGTGGAATCGCACTGCGGGGGGTGGCGAAGCTATTCAAAACATGTATAGCCGGTTCCTTCCCAATAAAAAACGGAGTTGTGGTCAGGATGACAGACCAAAAGGAGGGGAAGTTAATTAAATTCTCGTAAACCGACCTGGGATGTTTGAGTATTAGTTTATGGCGCGGGGGGAGGGGGAAGTGATATTCGTGAAAGGACAGGATTGTCATATATTCAGAACTTGCAATTTCCTTATACATTATCAATGCAATGCAACAATTAAGGGGAAAAGTACGGAGGAATGATCGTGAGGTATTGCAAGCAGGAATGCATGGAAACGATGTGCCATATGTTAGACAAGGAAGAGATTCATATGCCTCCAAAAAAAATTAAATAAAAATGGGGGGGGGGGTCACCTGAGCTCCACATGACAACCCTGTCCCGCCATTCCATCTCCTTTACCCTATCTGATTAGGTTCTAACTTATTTAATCCCCATTCTTTCTCTGACGGATCTCTTCTCTGACCTCATCCATCGGTTCTTTTGTTAAGTAGCGGGAGCTTTTTCTTCAAAGAGGGAATGAATTAAACTATGCGTAACTACTGTAGTAACAGCCCCGGGGCGGAAGCGCATCGCCAACTCGACCGGGAATAGCCCTATCAATGTGGATATTTCGCTGAAAATGTAGGTAGGCCTACTAGGTACGCCTGATAACATATTGTTTCACAGTTGGGTCTATTCCTAATAGACTTCGTATTCACTCTTAAATTTCCTTGCACAAGACCAACAGGGCATATGAGAACCGGCCCTTCTGGCATTTTCCAGAGCTGCCAGATGGGCAGTCTGCCCCTGCTTTCAGTACTAGGAAACAGAAGAGATGCACATGGCATGCCGGCAAGGGAATTTATGAAGAAAATATTCAATCCATAGGTTGAAGAAAGCAAAACTTCCTCAACCAATTCTCACCAAAGAAAGATGCTCAAGATTTGCATGAAGACGGCTTATGAGGAAATTACATGAACTGAATCAAACTGGATCTGAAATTGATCACATTTGCCAACATTGAAATGCTTTAGTATATTTTCTTTTCCGTAGTGGGGTCTGCTGATAAGAGATTGACCAGTGTTATCGGATTTATCGTACCCAGGTTAGCCCGGGCGACATGAGTCAATGCGTTCGGTATATCCCAAGTATACCAATGCCGTGGAGCCGCTGTGTCAGGATGACTATTTTCTTCTATTTGGCTTTTTCTGTTGCCTTCGTCCTTGGATTCATTCCCGAGGTTCGTGCATTATAATCCCACATTGTTGGCCTCAAAGGTTACTTCGTGATAGTAAACGTGTTGGTATCTGTTCGAAATAGAGGGGAGAAGAGTCCGAGTTCTGTATTTACTTTGGAGAACCAGGTCACTGTGAAGCGGAGGAGGAGTGTTTGCGAGCGATCCCCAACTCAGAATTATGCGACAGGCGCCAAGCTTGCTCCCACGTGAAAAACAGGTCACTCCTCTGAATAGCACTAATGGAACCAACGGGATGAGGACTGAGATTAATGTCAATCTCTTTCGTTCGGTGTGGAGTAGGCCTACGATATGTTGTCCCATGAGGGGCAGCTTCTTGTTCCCAGACCGGATCATAGGAGGGGAATACACGAAGCCAGGGGAATATCCCTGGATGGCTGCTCTTCTCCACAAGTCTTCACCTCGAAGACCTTTCTGCGGCGGATCTCTCATCTCTCCCGTCCATGTCCTCACGGCTGCTCACTGTGTCAACAAGTGCGTCTTTTCCTACAATCCACCCTGGAGTTGCATGCAATGTCAGGAAAATACATTTTCTTATTCAAAGATTTCAACATGACCCAAGTTCCATTCTGATTCGGATTGGAGAGCACGACTTTGTCTCGGAGTTTGAGACAGACCATCGAGATTTCCATATCCAGAAAATCTTCGTTCATCCCGACTATGAAGAAATCAATTCAGGCTCCCTCAATGACCTGGCCATTATCAAATTGAATAGTTCCCACGAGATAGGACAAACGACAGTCTGCCTCGCCGAGAAACCAGGAGACTTCCAGAATTGCGAAGCTGTCGTCATAGGTCCGATATTCTTTTTCTTTATTCTATGGTAATTCTACTGTACACTGTAAAAAATAATGGTCCTCCCTGGAACTCTTTAAATAGTTCCAAGAAAGTTTTACTATAGAACCAGTAATGGTTCCATAGAGAACCACCTATGAAGGTTACATGTAACGCCATTAGAAAAGGTGTCACTTAAAACCCTTTCATTAATAACATGGTTCCACACAGAACCATCACCATTCGGCCAAACAACGTTGTGTCAACTTTGAACAAAGGTTCATTTTTCAACGTATGGGCATAACAGTACCTCCTCCACTTCTTGGGTCTGAACTCTATACATGGGTACTCTATTAAGTACTGTCATCCCACAGAGGGTTCCTTCTGAAGGACGGATCTCAGGGATTTAATAGTACTCGATAGAGTACTAATGTCCCAGAGGAGTCCCGCTGAGGTTGTATTACCTTCACTGCATCAGAATTAGAGTTTAGTACAAACCTCATTCTGTCCAGCAAAGGAATTACACGTCTAGCAACATCCCCAGTTTGATTTCATTCTAGAGGAGGAGCCAGACATATACCAGCAGTCAGATTTTCACAATCCTTCTTTCTCGAATTAGATACAAGAACTTGAGTCCTTATAAGCGCCAAGTAGAGACTTAGGAAAATTGAGCATGTCTCTTCGGACACCTTGGTCAGTAGATGGAGATTCAAAATACTTTTTGAGTCTCCTTCTACCAGGTTACCTCCTTGAACGAGCCTTTCCAGGAAGTCCGAAGCCTTCCCTTAAGTTGTACATGGGAAAAGATCGAGTACTGTGTTCAAAAATACAGGGGATTCATTCCTATGGCAATAGGGTGAGAATCGCTAAGTCGGTGCTTCGGCGCCATTTGGGGCCGATTGGTAAAACCTATTTAAAAAAAGAAAGGGAATGAGGAGGAAGGGGGGGGGAGTCCTGAGTGAATGGCGTAAAATATATATAAGTATCTAGCCCTGAAGGGATCCTTTTTCGAACCATTTTAAGAAAGCGTAAGAAATGGTTGCACCTATAACCAATGGCCAGTTCCAGAGGTTCTACAAGAGCGATGGAGTTTCATATGGGTCTACAGTACCTGGAACCTTTTTAAGGGTGCAGAACCATTGAAGAGTTCCAGTCTGAACCATTATTTTTTACAGTGTAGGTGGCTAACCTGCCATGAAACGGTGGTTTAGCTCAAAAATGTAAAATATAAGGAAACAATGAGCGTCGCAATCGACCTAATGACAACCCCTTTCCTTTTGAACCACACCCACAAAGGGAGCTAATGGAAAAAAATGGAGGAGTTGGTGAAAGTGAATTAAGAGTAGTGAAAGTTCAGTGGAAAAAAAGCATGACGCTTTGATTTCGTGCCAAGCAGGTTGGGGAATGAACAACCCGGAATCGGGGACTCAGCCTCCCATCCTAAAACAAGTCCTCGTCAACGTATATTCGCAAGAAATGTGCCAGAGTCTCTATGGCAATATAACGAATACTCACCTGTGTGCAGGGAACCAGAACGGAGAGAAGGACTCTTGCCAGGTAAGATCTTGGGGATCACTATCTTCCAACTTCGCTTATTGGTTCTTGAATATGAAGGTAGTGTCCTCCATCTAGGGAGATTCCGGAGGGCCTTTGCTCGTCGGCCTGGAAGGGAAATGGGTTCAAGTTGGGATCGTGTCTTACGGATACAGCTGCGCGCTACCACAACATCCTGGAGTGTATGCAAATGTCTCTTCCCACTTACCCTGGATTGCTAGTCAACTCCAACCGCACACTCTTAATGGTGCCGCATGAATAACCTTCATGATGGCTCTCTGAGAGAGCGATAATGTTCTACATCATCGTCATAATCTCCTTGCAGATGAACGGTGCGGAGTGTCGAAGGTGCAGAACTCGCCGATCTCGGACACCTGCCACAAATCATCTGCTTATTGCAACCGACTCCTTTCCTTTCAAATTTTCTCCCATTTTTTCCTCGTGTGTCTGTTATTATCCGCAGTTTCATTTCATCCATACTTCATCCCTGTTTGAGTATACTACGGAAACTAAACAAAATAACTATGCCGATTAGTTTTCTACTTGAGCATAAAAAATCAGTTGACATACCACACGGCGAGCCGAAGTTACAGGTGTTAGGTTTCCTCGTGTCTTATGAGTAAAATCTTTTAGTTCTTTACATCTATGACACCTTTAATATAGAACTAAGGTGGCCATATCCAGGTTTTACGAGCTGTATAACAAAATTTTCACATCGCCGAGCCGAAAGACTATTTTACGCATGCATTCTCTCCAATATTACAAGATTCACATCCTACTCATTGTAACAACACAGTAACAGTTGCTGCTGAACGCCTTGTGGGTCTCCATCCTGGATGTGAACTGATTGAAGTCAGGTTCATATGTTGTCAGGATAGTACGAAGCTCAGTGAAGGACCGCACGATGTTTCGATTTCACGAACTTTAGCACGGAGTGGGACAAAATGCGTGCATAGATTGTTCAAGGAATGGGGAAAGGTTCATATCAAAGAGAATGTAGTGAAAGCCCAAATCCTAGAACAAGAGAGATATCCTTTATTTTCCATACTACAGTTATGTGATACATAACAGGATACACCGGCTTCCAACTCGACTTCGCCTTTGGGAGCGTAGACAAAATTTTCCCAGATGGGAAGCTTTGAAGCTATAAACAAATATTTATGGGCCAAATTAGTGGACCTAGTTTTTTTGCGATGAAAGGAGATTGATTGGTGATCTGTGTGAATGAGAAATCATAAGTATTTGCTTTTACACTGTAAAATCATGACTTGACAGGGATGCGAATTTACAATTGAACATCTTCCTCCATTTCACCTGTGTAAATGATAGGTGATCGAGCTTATCCCAAGAGATATTCTTGAAATGTCCTCGAAGTGGTTACCAAGAACCTCCCTCAACTTACCGAATTGAAATATTGGGCATTCCAGTGACCCCATTTACCGCAATTGCTGGTGAAGTCGTGACATTCAATAATGATTTGTAAAATTGTTCATGTAGAAGTGCTGAATCTTGCATGTTATTAACTGGTAATAAGAAAACTCCATGAGATGAACAGAAACAAACTGACGGGACCCTCTATACCAGTTTTAGAGGATAGGAGTTTCATTTCCTTTTCTTACGTCATTGGATAAAATATAGGAGGATCCGGAGATACATGGCGCCCCAGTAGAGCCAGCAGATAGGCGATATCAGTATTATAGGTGCAAAGAGATATCTTATCAGTACAAGCGGTGAAGCAGCCGTGTCGGGATGTTCTCGCTTTGGTTTCTAGGATTCCTCATCGTCCACGCCCTTGCATCCATCTCCCAGGTTTGTCTTGCTACCCGATGTCAGCTTAATTGCTTCCCCAGTCGAAAGTCAAGAGTTAGCGTGAGGGTGCTCATTTGTCCTAGGGGGGAAAAGAATCTGAGTTCTGTACTTATAATGAAGAACCCGGTTACTGTGCAGTGGAAGATGCGTGTCTTCAGATAATTATCAGCTCGGAATTGTCCCCGAGACGCCAAGCCTGCTCCCAAATCAAAAACAGGTCTCTTCTCTCTGCTGTATTCATAGAACTGCATGGACGAGAGTAATGCACATGTCAGTTTCTTGTGTTTTTGTGGGAGAAGGGCGACGATATGTTGTCCGATCAGGGGGAGCTTCCTCCATCCAGGCCGGATCATAGGAGGGGGAGACACAAAACCAGGGGATTATCCCTGGATGGGAGCTCTTCTCCACATGTCTTCCACTTGGAGACCTTTCTGCGGCGGGTCCCTCATTACTCCACGTCATGTTCTCACTGCTGGCCACTGCGTTGTTCAGAGGTGAGTCATCCATTACCATCCAACATGGTATTTTTGCAAATAATGAGTAAGTTGTTCTTTTTTTTTTTTACAGAGTTCAATATGTTCCAAGTTCATTTCTGGTCCGGATCGGAGAGCAAAACTTTGACGATCGGTCAGAGACAAAGCATCAAGATTTTCGCATCAAAGAAGTTCACATTCATCCCTATTACAAGGATATGAACTGGACCATACTTAATGATCTGGCAATCATCGAACTAGATGGTCCATCCGAAACTAAACCTGTGACTCTCTGCCTCTCCAACGAATCAGGAAATCTCAAGGGTTGCTCCGCCAATGTCATTGGTCAGAAATTATATTTCTTCAAGCTGTGATAATTCTAGGTGTTTAGCCCATCAAGAAAAAGTGATATATATATAATAAAAGTTGGAGTGTTAAAACAGTCGAGTTAGACACCACGCTCGTCTTAATGAAAACCCTTCTCCTTTTGAACGTCGTTAACGAATCGATCCGAAGAGGAAGAAAGGAAGGACAATAGAGAAATAACGTTCCGAATGCTTTGACTGAGTCTTTGTGCGGATTACGCAGGTTGGGGGGTGACACGCCCGGAAACGGAGATCCAGCCTCCCGCCCTCAGACAAGTTTTTGTCGACGTTTACTCGCAAGAAGATTGTCGAAGGAGCTACGAAGGAATCAACGATACTCATCTGTGTGCAGGGCACAAGGACGGAGGGAAGGACTCTTGCCAGGTAAGATCTTGGGAGCTATTAATCTCTCACCTCGCCTATTGGGTCTTGAATTTGAGGGTACAGTAATGTCCTCGTCCATCTAGGGAGATTCCGGAGGACCCTTGCTCGTCGGTCAAGAAGGGGAATGGGTCCAAGTGGGGATCGTGTCTTATGGAAACGGCTGTGCGAGGCCTGGATATCCCGGAGTCTACGCGAATGTCTCTTCCCACTTGTCCTGGATAGCTACGCACATCCACCCTTACACTTTAAATGGTACCGCATGGGTGATCTTTATGATTACTGTCAGTAAGAGGAGTAACGATGACCATCATCTTCGTCATCATTTATTCGCAGATGGGTGCGGAGTGTCAGAGGAGCGGATTTCTGAGATCTTGAACACCTGTTCGAAAGCATCGCTCTCCTTCTTTCGACTTTCAGCCTTGCAGTATATTTCCATTCTCATTTTCTCCTTCTCTACCTTTCCTTGGTATAATCAATTGTCTAACTCTGTGATTGTTTGACAATGAGCACAGGAATAAAATGTCAATTGTTTTTCCTTCGCATCTGTCTCACGGATCTATTGACATGGCACTTGAGGCACTGCACTGATAGTTTTTTTTAAATAGACTTCGAAGCGTATTTTGGAGTGAAATTCCAGAATTAACTTCGATTTTTAAAAAAATTGGGACCGAATAGTACGATTGAAATGCTAAAATTTCAGTTGTGAAATATCGGGTCAATTCTTTAAAAAAAACGCATCCTTTGCCGAAAGTACAACAGGAGGCTAAAATTGAATATGATGGGCCGTTTGATCCTGAAGATTCAAGAAGTTTGTGTCTGCGAGTCACAAAATCAGGTTCCTTAATTTTTTTGGTACGTTATAAAACAGTGCTTTCATCATGTTTTCATCCGCGAGAAAACTGCGAAGAGAAATGAGGGGAAAATCTCATCGGAGTAGATGGAGGGAAACCTATACAGCACCAAACACGGGTGGCTTCTAAAGGCGCTAAGCTCAATTCATCTTGCGCCGTCTCCAGTTTTTTGTATCCAAGCTCGGTGGTTGAGATGACAGACATGATGTCATGGCGATCGTCATTACTCACATGAAGAAGAATGCGAGGAAATCCGTTACGTGTAAGTTACATGACATTCAGATGACGCACCTATCTCATGCTTTGTGGGTTTCCAGTGACTAAATATTACAGATAAATACCGGATGTAGGGTAGATAGAATATTTCACATGGAAGCGAAAGGACGCCAAAGGATGATGTAAGAACGGAAAATTCACGACCACCGTGGAGCGAGAAATGCACATCTCAGGTTTTCACCCTACGATTAACCCTTTAATGCATGACGTAGCTGATATATATACCAAATAAACATTGGTATAAAGGTAGCGAGCTCCTGAGGTAAATATATTCGTAGCAGATGTGCAAAAGTCTGGTCCTTATACCTTGCAACCATGCCGCCGCTAGGTGCCATACACTCCTGGTGGCAAGCAAACTGAAAACACCTGACCTGGTCGTGTGACAAATTGACGTTTTTAGTGGGATTATCTTAAACTTCACGCTAATTCAGCGTCAAGGCTTATCCGTATTATTGCATTTTATTTTGCGTTGAGGTATATAAGAATGTTGACGGATCGGGTTAGAAAGCTGAAAATGCTGTTTGTAGCAAATAAGCAACAATAACATTTTCCGGCCTACTGCTTACAAGGTTGACTTTTAAATTTGATTTCCACTTGACCCGTGTTCCAGGACGTAAGTGAAACCTACCTTTTTTTTTCCCCCGAAAAAGAAAAACTCATGCTCTAAAGAGTTAAACTTAAATTTATTTTTCATAAATGAAACCCCAGCCTCTTTGTACGAATGAATGAAAGTGATTCATGTCAAGTGGCCCGATACAGCGCTTTGGAATGCTTTTTCACACTTTTGAGCAATGGGGGGGGGAACTTGCTTAGAAGCAAAATAATAATAAAAACTGGAAGGCTATGCCATCGAAAAATCGGTTTACTTTTGGAAGATAGCACGTATAACCATTTCTTCACACAACATTTCGCGATGTTACCTCACTTATGCTTCTTGATTATCAGATTATCTCTTAACGTTTCCGATATGCACTGTATTCGCATCCTCAATGATAGAATAATGGTATGGATTCATTCTATACACACTGTATCAAACCACTTTCCTCTTTTTATAAACGGGTTAAGGTCTAAATTAACCTACTTCAACCAAACCCCACCATTCTATACTAGATAAACATACTGAGAAATATTTATTCTCTCGTATGGACTTAGCCTTTTATATTTCATGCAAACTCTTAAACATTTAATGAGGCCGAAGCCCTCTTCAATATTGATTTTTTTTCCATAGGCCCAAGCTATATGAAAATGTTTAGCTTGTCACATTTTCATTATTTCGGTCCAATTTATTTCGCACTAGCAACAGGGGGTGGCTACTTTTTGGTTCGTTACTTTCAACGAATCACGTTCAAATAATTGTTTCATGACATCAAAGCCATCGAATGAGTGTGCTGCGCCGACAAGAGTTGCTCTGAGAAACATGAAATTGAACATGCGATTTTGCTATTGGGGTAGCTCTTTTGGCAGGACACGGCATTGGTGTAACTAATGTGGGCATTTTTCCTCTTTACGTTCTTTCAGATGTCTATCCCCGTTATTTATTGCTTTTTTAATCCTTTTTTTGCATCAGTAGATGATTTAAAGTGGTTTTAATTTACTGGATTTCTTAACTTGTAGGTCGTAGTTTTGGGGTATCCTTCCTCAAACGATACTTCTCACATTATAGATGGCACAGAATGTCTACGGTTGGCCTTTGGGAGAGAGCATTGACTTTTGCTTCAATGAAAAGCGATCTGGGTTATCTTCAGAGGTCTTCGAGAAATGTCTTGACGATGTTACTTAGCACCTTCCTCTGTCTATTGAAGAGACAGATTGGGTATTCCGCTGGTTCCATTTGCCGAAATATCAGATGAAGTCATGAAATTTAATAATTACTTTCATGTTGGCAAGAATCAACAAGATACTGCATTATATTAACAAAGGCGCATCTGAAGGGACCTTTATACGAGTTTCAGGTGATAGAGGATTCATTTCCTTTCTCCTATTACGTCAACGGAGAAAATATAGGAAACACTAGGTTTCTTGGGCCCAGCCCACTCATATACTCTCGACTCGACTCTTGACTGTGTCAATGTTCCGAATGTAAACTTGAATAGATACACTATTAGTGCAAGAAGCGAGGCAGTCGTGTTAGGATGTCTTCTCTTTGGTTTCTAGGATTCTTCATCGTGCACGTACTCGCATCCAACTCCCAGGTCTGTTCAGATATACTACCATCATGAATACCTATCTGAAAACTGCATTATCGAAAGTCAAGAGGAAGCCCGATGGTGTTCAACTGCCATAGAGGAATGAAGAGTTGGAATTTGTACTTATGATGGAGACCCTGGTCACTGCGAAGAGGAAGATGCGTGCTCCCAGAGAATCGCCAGCTCAGAATTGCTCCAGAGACGCCAAGCCTTTTTCCACGTCAGAGACAGGTCTCCTCTTTGCTGCATTTATAGAATTGAAGGGATGAGAGGAATGCGCATATCAGTTTCTTGAATTTCGTGAGGAGAAAGGCTACGATATGCTGTCCGATGAGGGAAAGCTTCTCATCCTCGGGCCGGATCGTGGGAGGGGAATAATACGACTTCATTAACGAAGGATTACATTCATATCAGAAATGATCGGTTATCGAATCTGGAATTCCCTGCCTGAGAGACAATCGATCAATTCGCAGGCGTTGTCAGTTTATCGGGTCTAAATCCCCGTGTCGTCGCTCCAATTCCTCCCTAATCTCTCAGCCGTGGAATTCGTCCATCCGCGCAATTTAGCAATCACATCTCTCCACAGAGGGGAATGGCCTCACCGTCTCCCTCAAGAACTAAGAATAAAGAAGGAAAAATGGTGGGCCTTCAAGCTGATCGTTAAGATAGATGAGAGAGTGCCTCAAGAAAAGAGCGTCCTTGCAATTTCTGCCAACCTCCTCCACTGGCCAGAAATCTGATGGAAGACCTTTCCTCTTATGGATAGCTCAGGACGACCGTACCACAGCAAAGCTATGGGGGAGAGTGTGGATAAGTGTTTAGTTCACCCGCATTTGGAGATATTTTGGTTTAACTGACCTAGAATTCTGCTACCTCAGGCGATAGGCCTACAAAGCTATGAATTTTAAGGCCTTAGGCCTGGCGGAAATAGAAGAGATGATGCGTTCTATTTTGGCAGTTAGTGGTGATGGATTAGACCGTAGCAAATAGTTATATGTGGTATTTTCCAACTAGCGATTTCTCGGGCCCCTTGGACGAGTCTGGAAGCAGGTGTAACGGACATACATATTCATTCATACAACCGGAAGGACATATGCACTCCCTCAACCAGGGCGATGTGGAATGGAAGGTCTGCTCAAGGTACTCATGCCTTGCCAAAGCAATGCATCGGACATCCGTCGGTTCCTAGAAGCCTTCGCTCATTGACCTTGAAAAAGGCCTTTCAATTGAGAGAGGACACATTTGGCGGTGGCTCGACCTCACTATCCCCTAGTGATGATTCACTCTTTCGCATTCAGGATGTATTTCTGACAGAACCTTGCTGCCTTACCCTGACGCGAGTAGCCCACTAATCTTTGCTTTTCGAGAGCATTCGCCAGGCGGAAGGACGTAGGACTATGTGATTGTGGGTGCGATTCACTTGCAAGGTGGAGATGTTAGGAAAAATCAATGGAAAGGGGAATATGAGGAGCCTTCACTCGCACCTGATGGAAGATGTCTTCCAGGCGAGCAACTAAGGGACGGAGAGGAAGACGACTGGGAATATGATATGCAATCTTTTCTCGGTCGTTGGTTGGTTAGGGTCGTTTAATGGTTGGGGTTGCTTTTTCCTTCTTTTGGTCATGGGTCGTTGATCCGGTCGTTCTTTCTGCTCTGTAGGGGCCTGGGGTGTTCATCTCGGTGCACAACTTACTTGCGTACCTCAATCTCTTGAAGCCCTGCACCCTTAATTAGGTGTTCTTGCTCATTCTTAGTTATTTTCTAATGACGTTTCAAGCAGGTTTGATCAGAACTATACATGTAAGTAAATCAGTACTTACCCGTATTCCTTTACATATTTTACGCTTATACAGTCGAACTCGGTTATAACGTCATTGAAGGGTTGCAATTCCGAGACTGAATCCGCTCAAAGATAAGCATTGGCTCACTAGCTCACCGCCAATTTCCGGCACCTCGTGACGAAGCGTGGTTTATTTACCTGTTCTGATGAAAGCTGGGTCCTACCAGCTTTAATGAATTCAAGTGTTTTGACGTCCAACCCTTTCCTATGGAAGATATCTCTCTCTGGGATTTTTATCCAAGAGGGAAGCTTCGCCTCATCATAAAAGGCGACTGCATGCCGGCTTCACTCTTAAAATACTCCAATGCCTTCCTTTTTTTTTTCAAAAATTCAGAATGACGATTGCCTCATTACCTGTTC